GTGAGTAAAGTCCAGCTCATGTATATTCTCATTGGTTGTTGATGTTATAATGACTATGAGGGGACAGCAATAACGTTACTTTAAAAAGTATTTTCTGTACAGGTTATTGGGATTTCAAAGTGAATTCCATTCACATTCTAAAGAAGAACTATTCCTACTGCATAAAATTCCTTTTCAGCTGGGAGAGCTGAAGTACCCTTTCAAATGAGGTGAGCTGCAACATCCCCTTGCTTCTCCTCTGTGCCCCTCTGTTTAAGCAGGTTCTAAGGTTTTCACAGCAGTAATTGGCTGGGCTGTGCAAGGTGATCTCTATCTGTGTTGCATAATTGGATTTTACAAGTAGGCAAGATCACTCCCTTATTTAAATACAGAAACTTAAATAAAGAGTAATGGCTACACTTTAGATTAAATAGGCCTGAACCCATTAAATGTTATCTCCCTTGAGTAAATAATTATTGGTTAGATCCTCTTCTATTGTATCAATAGTTATTGTTGTAACCTGTCAGATATTTAAACATTAATCCTGTTTCCTCTTTTGCAAGTGGGCAGTGACCATGGTACAGAGAGTAGGGAAGCCTGATTTGAAATGCAAGGCACTAGAGTATCTGCTTTTTCCGACTCTACACAATGAGAGGGGAAGCGTAAGCTCCAAATCTGAACCTCAAAGACAAAAGCCGGCTGACTCAATGGCCAATGCTAGGCATTGGTGTGAGTGAAAGGGGTGGTTTCTCTCCATTGTGATAATAGGGACAATGAGGATCTGATTTGAATTCTCTTCCTAGCCCAGCTTCTGTTAAATCTCTGCATCAGCCTCCCATTAGCCAGTGGAGCATTGGCCTGTGCCATCCACATGCCAGGGCTAGGGGTGGTCAGGGCTGTACCATTGGAAGCCATCATTGGAACTGGCAATGGAGTATTAACTCTTGGGATGCCCTAGCCCATGGTCAGCTCTTTAAAAGGATAATAGGGGACATCTCCTCTGCTCCAGTGGCACAGATGTGCCTGGGAGGAGAACATTTGAAAAGTTTAAAAACTCTTAAGGAGGTTTGAGTTAAAAAATAAGTTAAAAAATAATTGCAATGCTCAGCTCTTTACAAATAATCACTGATTATGCCTAGGGTGACCAGATAGCAAGTGTGAAAAGCCAAGGCACTTTTTTGGGGAGGTGAGCAGTGGGTATAGTTGCATATCTAAGACAAAGCCTGTAATATCAGGACATCTGGTCACCCTAACTATGCCTCACATTGCCCTGTGTGCGAGTTAAATGAATGCTGTTATCCCCATTTTGCAGTTGGGGAAACTGAAGCAAGTAAGTTGTTACTTACCCAGGTCCAAGGAGGAGATTGCTGTCACGGTCTGGATAAGAGCCCTGGAGCTGCTGGCTCTCAGTCCACGGCTTGGAATTTAAATTCACATGCAGGAGTCAAAAAAGGACTGGGTCTTTAGATAAATAATAGGAACATCCCCAGTTACCATTGCTAGAATTTTTTTAAACAATGTAAGAGTTAGAGACCCTCATGCCTCAAAGCATAAACCACCCATTAACTGCTTCAGATTAGAAATAAGCAGGTGCCCAAAGGGGAAATTTACATAATTGCCCATTGTGAGATTTCTTGCACCTTCCAGTGAAGAATCTGAGATTGGCTATTGTCAGAGCCAGATATCTCATATGGCCTGGCAATCCATATGTCTAGAAGCTCTGAAATCACAGGAAGGGTGTGAGAGAAAACTTAGGGAAATAGCCCAAAGGAGTTCTAATCTAACTTTCTCTCCATGTAACTTCTGTCTAATTTCCCAGGTGATTCCTCTATTTACATGGGCACAGAGCTAGGGTGGGGGCTTGCTCTGAAGGACAACCTCCTTTTATACAATTTGTTCTTAATGTTTCTTGTGTGGTACACCTATAACTATAATGTTAGCAGAAAGAACAAGCTACAAAAGAGCAATGAAATTCTATATTAGAATTGAAAGTGAAAGAAGGCTGTGCTCTGTAATTTGTCTGACAGGCTGTTTCCAGGAAGTATCTGATGAAACTGATCCTAGAGCTTTCTGTAATACATAAATTAGCCTCCTCATAAAAGCGTTATTGGATCTGGTGATTAACTGAGAGTGACTCATGGGCAGGGGTGAGGAAGTGGGTGAAAGATAATGTAATGCTAGCCTGACCTGCATCATCCATTAATTTAAATGGAATTCTGGTCATTTGCTTTCCTCCCAATGTTCTTGGTCCCTCTTCTCTCAGCCACATGCTCCCTAGTTTCTGGTTTTCCTCTCATTCCCACAGGAAGCACATTGCAATCTAATGATCAAAGGAAGGAAGAATTTCAGGGCAACCATATGGTCATGGGAGGAACCATGTTTGTTAACTAGGAATATGGAATTGAATCCAGATTAAAAAACTAGTTAAGTGGCATTCAGTTCTGGTGCTAAGAGACAGTAGAGATGTGCTGTCTGATCACTCATCTTCTGTGTACTGTAGGGTGCGAGGCTTTAGGCTGGAGTTGATGGAGTAATCTCAGACTCATAAAAGCTGGTACTGGTCAGCCCTATTACATCATCCAGTTCCTCTCCCAAGGGCTAAGGAAGTAGCATTCCTATTATCAATTTTCTTATGTTTTCTCCATGACTTAGAATGGTAAATTTTATCAAAAAAGGCAAAGATGCAGATCACAGTTTGTAGGCACCACCTCTTCTCATTTCCATCTACCCCCTGGCTATGAAATTCACCATGCAAATTATATGGCAGCATCAATGCTATGTGAAGTATACAGTATGGCCAGCCTACTTCTGCTGGTGCTTCCGGCAAAGAGGCAAAAGAGCTGGACAGAGCAGGCACGAAGTAGGGAGAAAATAAGGGGGGATGAGAAATGCAACCTAAAGATGGTGTGAAATATCCTGCAACAGCTATTTCCTGCTTGTGCATTTTAGTTAAAAAAGGGAGATGCTGGAGCAGGCGTTAATTTGTCTGATACATGAAAAATGCATGTTGGGGGCGATGTACTATGCTGCATAGGAGCAGCGGCAAAGGCTCTACGTGGATTAGCATGTCCAGTCGCCTGGCTATCCTCCTATCTGCTCCTATCTGTCGTGGGAGGGGAGGCAGCAGCCTGTAGACTACTTGGCCCTTGTCTTATATCAGCTACAGCTGGAGGGCAGGGGAAGAGGGAGAGAAGGGAGACACAGGTGAGACAAAGGGGGGGTAGGCAAGAGGCAAAAAGGGGCCAGGGGCTTAATCCCCTATAGTTGTGCACTATTCCCCTACCACAGCCATTAGCACCCTTCCCTGTTCCCAGCACCCAAATACATCCTCCCCCCTATGCCTACCACTGCTCTGACCAGCTCCCGTATCAACTCGCCCCAGCCTACCCACCACACCTACCAGCAACTCCTTCCCCACAGCCCTTCCCCCCCACACACCCACTGGCACCCTGACCCCTTCCCCACAGCCCTTCCACCACCGGCACCCTCACCCCTTCCCCCCACACCCACCGGCACTCTGACCCCTTCCCCACAGCCTTTCCCCCACTGGCACCCTGACCCCTTCCCCGCATCCCTCCCCCCCCCCCGACCCATTCCCCACAGCCCTTCCCCCCCACACCCACCCTCACCCCGACCCATT